GACCTCGACTCCGTCTCGGTCCATAAACACGCAAAAAAAGAACTTGGCCAATATCCAGCCATCTTGACCGAACAAGCTTGGTCAATAACCCATACATCCGTACTGACAAACCCTGGGAGACAGACAAACCAAACTTGGCTTCATTCAAGACCACGCTGTCCAGCACATGCTTTGCAAACTGCAGGCCAGCTGTAAATAAACAAACTGTCTTGGAATAATTACTGATCATTACTGTAAAAACCTAGTAAGCTTTTTTTTAAATAACGTCAAAATTAATATTTTGTGTTGACGCACCGTCGAGTTTGACGTCATGCCATACTAAGTCAAGCGTAAACTAGCGGTCGTTAATCGGGAGGCAACTTCACAGTGTTTTTGTACTATGCACCATTAGCTACAATGATAAAGTCAGAGCTTCGTGTAAGGTCTGTTCAAGGGAAAAAAATGTATAATAAGGTTGTTCTCGTATTTCTTGTACACGATTGTGACACAACAATTAAAATATAAAAATAAATAAATAAATAAAAAAGAAGAAATAAACAAAGAGAAAAGAAATCTAACTTGACTCTAACTTACGGGACTCGTGCTCGGCGTGACTCAGACCATGCCACTTTGCTGAACCGTGAAACTATTCTTCAATAAATTTGCATTTTAATTTTTCTCTGAGTACTTCATGATTCCAACCCAGCTCAACTGTAGGCAACTCATGAATGTTAAAGTCATTCCAAAATTATCTCTATTGTACACTTTTGACCTTAGCGCTAACAAAGTACAGTTTTTCACGATCATATAACTCGCTTGTTGGTTCCGCCTGTAATTTCATGTCGGCCACCTCACAAAAGCCCTCCTTGCGTAATATTTCTCGGATTTGATTCTCGCTCACAAAATAGCAGCGGAACTTTTCCTTGCCTACGGTGTAGAAAGTCTCACCTATGGAGCTATGCATGACCAGATATCCACCCGGTTTCAAGTATTTTTTCAACTTGGCAATTGCATTCCCGTACTCTACTTCAGATTTCACGGCTGCTTCAATGCAAAAACTTGTTGTCACGACATCGAACAAGCCAAGCTGAGAAGTCCATGTTGAGGGCCATCTCACGGGGTCTTCCAATGCGATATCACACGGTAAAATATGAGTTATTTTCTTTCTTAGCTCAGCCTCTCGAATCAACGCTTTTTCGCTTCCCTTGCCTTCAAATCTTTGCACAACAAAACTGAAATATGGCGACCAGTCGTGAGCATCACGTGATCTTTCTCTCCAAGCGGCTACTTCTTTCCGATTCTCTTCGCTGTACTCGGCAAAGATGATCTCTTCGGCATATGGTACCGCACTTATAAGATCGTAGATGGCAGGTCCCCCACCAAAGTCGAGAACTCTTACGTTTCGTTTTGCCATTTTCGACCAAAATTCATGAAAGCATCTTAACGAAAATTCACCACTGTATGATTCCACCTGACTGTAATTTTTAAGGTAAGCTTTTGGGTCAAACTTGTCGTGATAGTCCTCACCGAAATGAAATGAATCCATCATCAGCAAGTCAACAGTTGATCTGTGACCCTGCGATACAGAAATTCCCTTCTCTTTCTGCCATCATCATCACCCTCCAAAGCTCTTTCAGAGAGAAGAATATAAAAGCAGAAACCGACACAGCACAGGATCTGTACTCTTGGTGAGAGCCTGGGATAGAGGCGACACCGTTTTGGTCACGTGGTCGGGGAACGGAGGAGCAACTTGAAACGACATTTTGATACGAGGAGCACACACGACAAAGTTGTAGTGCTTGGCTATTTACTTGAATTCCGACTTTTTCTACCGTTTACCAGTTTGAAATTACAGAAATATCGTAAAGTTCTCAGACGATCCTACTGCTCGTCACGCAATCCTTCCTCCACTGCGTGACGACTATGGACTATAGACTATAGACCTCCATAGACAAACCAAACAAATCAAACAAAATTGGCTTCATTCAAAACCGCGCTGTCCAGCCGGTGCTTCGCAAACTGCGGACTACCTGTAGATAATAGTTAATAATTAAATGCCTTTTGTTATAGAGCACGTTTGAATTTCCAAGTTTATGCGTTGCGTGACATTGAAGAAGGCTCTTGGGGAGGTCAAAGTGTTTGGTAACTGAACAGTTCTTGCAGAAGCATTAATTCCAATGTTTCGGAGCTCTATAGTAATTACTTTTGTTTCAATGGCAAACTCAATGACAGATGTTTCTGTTCAACTTTACAGCCGCCATGTTGGTGTCCCTCCGAGGGGCACCACGGAGGGACACCAAGATGAAGTCTCCATACAAAGCTCTGTAAATCTGGGTAAAATACACTTTTTCGAATAAGGCGCGAATGAAAACCGCTCAGACCTAAATCTTGGTGACGTTGTTTATATATCAATCATCTACCATATCCCAGATTCTTAACTTAACTTATTGAATGGTAACGATTTTTGTGTGGGATACCTGTGGTATCACACACTCTTGTCATCGGATTGTACGTCCGTTGATGCTTATGAGCAGCAAGGTTTGCAATGCATTCTGGGTTCATGCTGGAGCCGTCATTTTGGATATTCTGGTAGGATCCTTAGTAAACAGTTCATCGTTCTGATCGATCATGAAAGCAGTAAGCGGAAGTTACATTCTAGGTTATTTAAGTCCAACTATTTATAAGTGGAACTCTAAGGTAATTATTTCGGTTACCTTCCTTGTCGCTTTGGTTGGTAATTCTGGTGGCGTATTTTCGGCTACTTTTTTGACGCGTTGGTGAGTAAAATGTCACTGAAAATTGATAATTTGCCTTTACCTGATATTAGCTCTGAACCAAGTCCGGCGATTAGATACGCTCACCAAAAAGTTTTACTGAGCCGTAATTTGGAAAGCGTTTAAGTCTGCCGCTTACAACTAAAATTAGACAATGAAAACCGATAAAATTTTCATCCAAAAAATACAAAATGCGCTGGTATAATAGAAGAAATCTTCCTTAGTGTCCCACAGTTAATTTTTTTTGTTCTCGTTGAGGGAAAAAAAACTGTAAAATGCATTGAACTGGGTAATGCTTAGACATGTACAGACAGTCGGGGGAACATGAGAAAGTTTTACTACCCTAGTAATGAGATTGTACTTTGTTATTGTTATCGTTGTGTTGTTGGTTGTTCTAGTGCGTTCTTAAACATAAAACAAATATATCTACGGATACAGACTAGCTATGCAAAGCTTTTGAGTGGTATACCCGAGCCTTTAGGCGTGTGTATACCAAGAAAAAAACAATTGACAAGTGGGATGTTCCGTGGTATACCACGAGAGAGCATTATTTTATGCCATGTCATAGAAAATACTGAACATACAGTGGTCAACACAATCAATGGAACATAATCTCATCAGTACATTTATTTTCCGTCCTTCTACTTATATATACGTTTATAAAACTATAAATGTACGTGAGAAATATAGTTCACGGTTGTTGTTCGAAGCACGACTAGTAGCCAACATAAACAAACTCTGTGCCACTGGCGACTGATTTGAATATTTCCGCGCTGATGAATTAAAATAAATAGCATTTACATTGCCTTTCTTTGGTTCAGGCTTACTTTTATAGATCTTTTCCATCGATTCCAAACAATTTCGACCTTAGCTGGATACGTAGTGAACTATTTGTCGCCACTGGAACTAATCATCAAATGTAATCAAAATCCATCCTAAAGTCGCGTACAAGAAAAGACAAATTATTATCTTAACTATAACAAAAGCACGTCATCTCGCATCCCGACGAAACAGGTTACGTTTGTGTTGCTTTGCACGATCCAGAATCATAAAGGAGCAAACGATCAGAGAAACAGAGTCTCGTCTGCACATGCTTTGCGATAGCGTCATTTGCTTTGCCCCTGCTACAGGGAGGCCAATTTTGCCCCAAAGATCCACTAGCCGGTTGTCCCATAAAATCTCACTCCAGTCTGCATTACATCTGTGTTCTCCTTTCCGTCGAATGCAATAAGCTTCTTGTTGGTTTTGTTTTCTAAATATATGTGTTTTGTAAATATGCGTCAATCAGGCCTATTTAATAAAAAAATGTGGAGATACTTGGTAGACTATATAATATCCCCAAAATCTCATACCGCATCTCAAACCTTAAACAAGAAAAGGGTTCTAGCGGACAATGGAAAATAACCAGAGCGCTCTTGAAAAGCATAATCCTTTTGAAAACAACTTGTTGTTATCTTTAATTAAGAAGCTTGATTACAATGGTTAATTTAATCTCTTTCAGTTGTGCAGTTTATGCAAAACAAGGTTCAAAAGAGTGTATCCTCAACATACATATGCCCTTTCGGTACCCCTATTATTTTAATTAAGACAGAACTATATAAATATAGCAAAGAAGATTTGTCAGTTTTTCTTTCTGGAAAAACAAGCTGCCAGCAGATAAGCTGTTGTACATCCGATCCGACCTAAAAAATACTCTTACTCAACGGCGGAACAAACGCACCAGCAATGAGAACTTTAATGTAGACGGAAACTTTACAAGGGATATGAACCAAACAACTTAGCTCTCAACATACCAATGAACGTTTTTGAATTTCTTTCAGCCTTCAACATTTTTCTATCCATTACAGCATCCCTGGGCAATACTCTGATACTTGTTGCACTTCACAAAGAGACTTCTCTTCATCCACCGACAAAACTTCTGTTTCGATGCCTGGCGGTCACTGATCTTTCCGTTGGAGTTATTTCGCAACCACTTTTCGCCGTTTTCCTTTTGTTGTCTGTAACGACTGGAATAAACTCGAAATTTATTTTTTACATAGATCAGCTATGTAACGCTTCAAGCTTCATTTTGTGTCAAGTATCGGTCTTCACATCCAGCGCAATAAACGTGGACAGACTCTTAGCCCTGTTATCTGGACTGAGATACAGACAAGTTGTGACATTACCACGAGCTCGTGTAGTTATCACGTGCTTTTGGTTGATTGGTATATCATGTGGATCGATGTACTTTTGGAATGATAGTATTGCCTTTACAGTAGCCTTTGTGCTTACAACATTTTCTCTAACAACCTCTGTCTTCTCCTATGCAAAGATTTTTCGCAAGCTTCGACAGCATCAACTTCAAGTGCACGCAGTCCCAAAAGGGCCACCTAACGGAAGGCAAGTGACTCTGAATATAGCACGATACAAGAAGTCAGTATCCAGCGTATTATGGGTGCAGTTATCATTAATTACCTGCTATATCCCGTTTATCGTTGTGGTTACGCTCATGACTTATCGGGGAATGCCTGGAAACAAATTGAGTGAAATAGCTTTCTGCGTTCCAGCAACTCTTACCTTTCTAAATTCGTCTTTAAACCCGATTCTTTACTGCTGGAAGATCAGAAGTGTACGACAAGCAGCCAAGGACACGATCAAACAACTGAACTGCTGTAAATCAGCCTAGATCGTCCGCTAGAGTGGATTCGGTTAAGAACGGATTCATTAACTTTGAGTGTGATGAGTTAAGAAAATGTCCTGTCTTTCACTTTGTCTTTATTTGAACATATCAAAATACGTACAATGTTTAAAGCTTTTGATAACTAAAAAGTAATAGGCTTGATACATCTTCGATCAATCAATACTTCACCCAAATGCCCGGAAAAGTGATAAATTGCAGTACAAGTCAAATTGTGACAAAGTGCCACCTGATAACAAAACAGTTTGTCATATATACCTCCAAACTCATGTACGTTTTCAGATTGGAGGAGAATATGTCACGTGCCTTGGGTCAACTTTCGATTTGTACGGGATCAGGTCGCAAAAAAACAGTGTTATACCTCCCTACTCAAACACTGTACGTTTTCTGTTATATCTCACTAACTCCATAGGGCGAACTTGAACTTTCGGCACGCACGTGATCAGGTCGTGCACTAATTGAAACCGGGCAAATGCTCAAGCAGTTTACTTGTAGGGCCTTGGTCAAACAATTTACTGAATTTGTGTGGCAGCCGGCGTCAAACAACTAATTTTTCGCCAGTTTGTGCTATTTTTTTATTTGGGAGGTATAAAAAACACCCGGACGACTGCCGAGGGTCTCGGGGAACAAAACTCAATGCTTCCCTTGGGGCTAGTCTTTAATGTATATTGCTGAGATCTTTCTTTTGTGTTGGGATCAATCTTCATTATTCGGAAAACGTTAAAAGACAAATGTAGACCTGAAGAGTCTATTGAATTGTAATTACAAGCAGACTTTAAAATTTGTCTCAAATTGTCGTTAATATTCCGTCTTGAGTATGTTTAAAGCATTATGTTGTGGATATGCAACGAACAAAGAAATAGGTATGCGGTTGCATAGATGTGTCTAGTGCTAGCTAGTTGTTTCTATACATCTTTAATTGCTGCAGTAATCAGCAACGTCTTCTTTAGGGCTACTTGTGAGAGAGTGTTTTGTCAGTGCTTAAGGCCTTTAGTTAGTGTTACGTTTGGGAAATAGGCGCGAAATAGGTGAGTTCTGTACACTAGGATCTGTACTAGAACTATCAGACAATTCATTGCATCTTTCCGTCATTTTGTTTTTCTTTTTGATCTTCCAGTAAAATGATGACGTCAGTTAAAAATTGGTCCGTGTTTGCGATTGGTCACTGAGGTTCTTGCGGGGCTCTGAATTCGCGGTAAATTCAAAACAAAAGTAGATCGGTCTGCGAAAACGCCGTGACTTAAATATGGGGTAGTTGCACGCTCCTACTCATCAGGGCTCCTGTCAAAGTGAATTGACCAGTCTTGTACAACACGAAGTCTGAGGTCTTTGTCTCCTAAGTCTTTGCTTTCAAGGTACGCGAAATTATAACAGCGTTTGAAAGTAGACCTTGATAGACTGGCCTGCATAGACTAGCACAAGCTATCCGTAGGCCAATCTAACTCTATAATATAAATGTAAATCGAAGGAACAAAATAACGATTGTTGTTATACCTCCCAACTCAAATACGTTTTCCGACTGGACGAGAACGTGTCACGTGCCGTTGGTCAAAACTCTCTAACTCCCTAGGGCGAACAAAACTCACTAACTCCCTAGGGAAACAACGACTTGAACTTTCGACTCGCACGTGATCAGGTCATGCTTCTTGAAACCTCGGCAAATTTGTGTGTCAGCCGGCGTCTAAAAAACGATTTTTCGCAGTTTCTTTTCTATTGTTGAGTTGGGGGGTATAACAAAGCACTTAATGATTCGCTCCGCGGGAAACAGTGAGTTTTGTTTCCCCTCGACCTCAATGTTTCCCTTAGCTTCGCCTCGGGGAACTTTGAGGGTCTCGGGGAAACAAAACTCACTGTTTCCCTTGGGGCCAGTCATTAAGTAGTCATTATTGTACTTTTAAATTAACGCACTGGGCTATTTTAATAGAACGGTCCAATAACCCATTTCCGAATTACCTTTAGCCTCTTTCTCAAAGCGGGTCTTGGCGCCCATCTTTTCTTACGAAAAAGAGGTTTCATTCACTTGAAAACTTCACTCATTTTCATAGGAATTGTTGTGCACCAGGTCTTTCTTTAATGGAGAGGCTTAAGCTAGGTTACTCGGAAATGGGCTATTACTCAGTCACGCACGAGGCGTGAAATTGTATGAGGTAATAGAATGAGGCCGAATAAAATTAACGATTAATATCACTTGAGTTTCAAGAAGTTGCAGAAAATGCCCAAGCCGATCAAGCAGCGACGACTGAAGACAATCTCTGAAACTTAAATATAAATATACGTTCAAATACTCAACAACTCGCTAGTAACCAGTAGGTTTGAAAACTTTGTTATAGACATCTTAGATTACTTGTATATTTTGCGAATACGTGCAAAGCATAGATAAGCTCACTACATAGCAGCTTATAATGCACAACAACTCGATTCAAAATTAAAATTTAGATATATATATATAAGATCTAGAAATGGTGGAAAACAAAATTCCCAGCCAGTCAAGGTCAAAGTTATGCATAAATATAGATTATGTGCTGGTATAGCATTGATTTAATCTTTAAGGGGTCTACTTTTAAATTATCAACGTATTTTAAGCTGACCGACGTCTTTCAGTAGTGTTTGGATACCATTAAGAAAATGCTGGGCGCCTTACATCGCAACGAAATCCGATAACTTCCAGTGGTAAACGGAAGAGCAATTTTCCAGATATTTCCGCAATTACTGGTACGCCAGTTGTCTGCGAAAGTTTCCGGAATAGCCGAGAGTCTCCGAAATGCGTACCAGTTGTCAGCATTAATTGCTTTTTTCCTGAGTATTTGTAACTAAATGTATAAAAAATCCAATCCTGCATAATAACTTCATATAGTCCGGAGTAATTCCCAAGTGGTTGAAATTCTTCTCCGTTCTAGCCTTGTAAAGTAAATGTAGATCATGTTGGACTCATATTTAGTGGAGAAAAATGGTTACATAGAGCGGAAACGCCATCGTGCACAATCTTTTGTTTACGTTCCTGGCTTATGCATGGATAACGTATCAACCAAAACGTTTCGATTAGTTAGTTGCTCAGGGAGAAGTAAGGTCAAGGCCAAACAAGCGAACACAAACTTACAACAAAAAGCTTAGCTTGTTGGTCTTCATGACCGTTCCCCCGGAGGGGTTACCCCCTTATATGGGCTGTATAGGTATGTGCCACCTCAGAGGATATGGTTTTTAGCCTTTTCGTTCAGAAATAGGGTATGGATTTTGGCCATTTTGGTGTCAAATAGGTTATGGTTTTTGTACTCTAGTCTTGAATTGGGTATGGTTTTTAGAAGAAACAACTTTTTCACAATTGTCGATAAGATCATTAACCAAAGCCCTTCACAATGCCTTTAATACCAGTATTTAATTCAAGGAACAGGTCTTAAAAATGGTATCAAATTTTTGGTCAGGTCATAAATAGGGTTGGGAAAATCAGAGATTTTTGTTTTAAATAGGGCAAGGGTTTTCGAAACCGGGCCACACACCCCAACCCAATTTTTTCTGGGAGTACCATTCCCCCCCTCCCCGGACCATTCCCCTATATCGACCATATGATTAAATCAAACAATGTTTCTCTGGGCCTCAAAGCGAAAACCGTAGGGCTCTAGTCAGTGGTGTACGCAAAAGGTTCTAAGAGCAAGCAGGCGGTAACTTATTATGGATTTGCTACCAGTGGCCATCTTCTTGGTCTTGATGTGGAAATTGCTAGAGGTGACGTGGTTCCAGTTTCCCGAGTTCTAAGTTCCGGCATATTCTCAGCGGGTCTTGGAGTTGTGTCCATAGGTCCTACTCCTACCCCCTGGAACAACCTGAAAAACTCGTTGCGATATCGAATATTGAGCCCCACCAAGAGGCAAGGGTTTATTGCCGGGTTGGTGTGGCCAATCAGATTCATTGTAACCCTGGTGACAAACGAAAGGCGGGCGTGAACTTCCGGGAAGTATGTTATCAAATAGTGCTGCACATGCGTAGGGAGCCAACACAATGCAAACACGACGACGACAGTGATGAGCATTCTGACAACTTGACGTTTGTGGAGCATGCTGTTGTGTTGACCATGCGCCGTAAGGCGACCAGGTGCTTGGCGCCTCCAGAGCTTATGGGAGATGGCGGCATAAAGGATGGCCATGAAAAGCAATGGAACTGCATAGGTGACAGCGAACGCGGCATCATAAAATTTTCGACTTGCCTTCATGGGATCTCCAAACACGGACCAGTCGCGATCGCAGTATGTTTGGCCGTTCTTTTCTGTGGTTTCCGCCGCAATGCCCACGGGCATCATCAGAAGTGCGGAACTTAACCAGATCACTACGGTAATGATCCAGACTTTGCGGAAAATCTTGATTACCTTGTACGGGTACATGATAGCAAAGAATCTCTCCAGTGCTATGAAGATCAAAGTCGTTGTGGAACCGGCAATTGGTAAATGGGACATAAAGAAAATCGCGTGGCAGGAGAATTCCCCGAAAGTTCCTCCGATCCACAGGCCCCTGACATGGTATCGAGTAAGGGCCAATGGGAACATAAACAAGGCAAAAAGAAGATCAGCTATCGCCATGTTTACCAGCAGAAGGTTAGTGGGACTTTTCATTCCAGGTTTACGGAGCACCACATAGATGACTAAAACGTTTCCGAGAATGGCTGCGAGAAATAATACCACGTAAATAACCGTGATTGCGATTTTGCCGTCTTCTTCCATCACGGAAAAGTGTGTCTTCGGGGGATGGAACAAATGTACTTTGTCTCGACTGAAATGTTTCTAAGAATAAAAAAAAGGTAAAAAAAAAAAAGACACCATCAACAGTGAAAAAGGAATACCAGGACGGTTACATGAACCACAGTAGCTGTCAACAACAAGCATTTCTGCTTTATCTAGAATTTACCTACGAAATTGAGGTTAAGTTATGAGCTCTCTAGTTGGAAACGTTTGTGTGGTTTCTTTACTCTGTTCTCCTCTATAAGTCTTGGATTTGTCATCAACTGTCATTTTCATTGTCTGCCAAGAGCAAAATTTGTCTTGTGCAGTGTTTGTTTTTCTTTTATGATGCTTCGAGTGATGTCAACGTGTAATCACCATTTATAATATAAATTACAATTGTAATAATTTTTTGTCAGTATTTACACACTCTATTGGATCCCATTTCACCGCCCACCGCTTGCATTGTATTCGGTTCATTGTACCGTATTCTTTCGTTTGTTTTCAGCAAGTGAATAAAGTTACTCTAAAAAGGCGGAGATAAACGAGCTGACAAAACCTGGTTTATGTTCGACACTTAACAACAAGGATTAGACATTCAGTGCTCATTGTTAGCAAAATGCTGCAAACCGCCCGTCATTTTGACCCAATAGATTACATTAAAGACAACGTCAGGTTCTAGATCTTTTTATTCAAATTCGCAAAAGAAAATATTATCCGACAAAACAGAACAAAATTTTCATTATCTAATGACTTCTTTCAACTGGACAAACACTAGCTTTTTCATCGCAAATCAATATTTCTTTTGCAACACATTTGGCAGCTGCGCGCATTTGCTACAAAATATTACAACAACGCTAAATGTAGTTTACTGTAAATTCAATAAAAGTACCTGAGGTAAATGCAATTCCAACTAAAAATGTACTAAACATTAACGTTGAATTTAACAACTATAACATACCTTAGCGAAAATGTTATCTCCTTTGACGCTGAAAATTACGAATCTGCCAGACTAGAGAATTCTACGTTTTTCTGTTGCTGATTTGCATTATATTATTAAGAAATTTTATCGCGTGCGGTGGACGTAGGGCCACTTATTGTGGTCCATTACCTTATTACCTTAAATGTAATGAGCAAGTTTTACCACCACAATCCATTAACAAAAGCTATACCAAGATATCACTTTACTGGTGGTATTAACGAGGATCACCCGGAATCCTCCGAAGATTGCCGAAAATCATACGACGTTCTACGAGTATTACTGAAACAATCCAAAACCTTTGAAGAAGATTACCAAAGATTACTAATGGCTATACCGAATAGTACGAAATGCCCTATGATGCAGTTTATGGAAATAGCACACTTTAAAGTGAACGTTCAAATCTTGTCAAGAAACCTTTGTACCGTTTGGCAACTTTAGGCAAACATTTTCTAGCATTATTTCCTTCATACCTTCAACAAACAAATGGTTAAAGTTGAAGATGACGCGAAATTTGGGTCGAACAGTCTTCAAAACCCGATCCACAGTACAGAAAAAATGGCGACCAACACATTCACCTGTGATTTTTGGCCCACAAAATCCCTTAAAATCACGAATAAAAACGTGTAGCAAAGTTCACAAAGCTTCAAACTCAGCTTCTCAAACTCATTAATAATTCATCAAGTTTAAACAAAGGAAATCGTGACGATGACGGCGTTTGAATATCTGATCTGGAGTAGCATAGATTTTTACGATTTTACCTCTTTATCTTCTTAGTTTAGTTTCGATTGAGATCGAAGAGATATCAATAACTAAAGACAGTGTTTGACCATACTTCCAAACACCTCTGAGTTCTTCAAAAATACTCCGCATTGCGTCGTATTTTCAACTCTCCTCTGGGTATTTGGAAATGTGGTCAGGCACGTTCTTTCGTGCCCGATATGTTACATAATAATTGTTAATGTAAGTAGAAATTTCTTTAGAATGAAAATTAGCGATATCAAAAGCGAACGACGTTTCGATGACTCCATGTCATCATTATCAAGTTCAAATTTTGAATAAATACATAAATATGAGCTTTTATTATTTATGTACCTAATAGCCCTTTTCACGGTTACTTATGCTCATTTGCATTACAATAAAATCTAGCTTGCAGGTGAGGCAATTTCGGGCTATTTTATAGTTTTAGCCCGAAATTGCCTCGCATCCACGTTGAATTACCTTGTAACGCAAATGAGAAAAATTAACCGTGAAAAGGGCTATTGGCTGTGTAAGGTTCGCAAACCATCTACAGCTGCCATTCCTTTCTTTGGCAGACAGTGACACGGCATTAAATGTCTCTCGATAATGTTTACGGAAAGCCACGAGGCTTAGCAGTACAAACGAGATTAGGGAAACCTGGTTTTCTTCAAGCCGTTTTAGAACAGACCCTCTTAACGTATGTTGTCACTTAACTCGATTAATCGAGAAAAGAAAAAAAAAAGAAAAACGCTCACACGTAGAAAGGGATTCAGAATTTAAAAGTACTCAATCGAAAGGTTATTCTGTCACACAAATCCATATCTAGATCAAATTGGAGTTCAAATAGCCGAGTACTGTTAAAGCGTTTAAAGCATTGTGTAAATTTTAACCTACAAAGCCCGTGTTTTCACAAGAGATGTTCACCTTGGTTTTCCTTTAACTTTATTGAAGTGAAACTTTTAATCGTGTAAACACAGTAGCAAACCTCGGTAAATGGTGGCAAAATCATTTAGAAAACCAACCTAGGTTTGTCGACAGTTGAACGCCTCGTCAGGCATGATTTAGCTCGGTAACCGACGGTAACCGAGGAAAAGCAGACGTTGTCGCGATATCTTAACATATCAGTAAGGGGAAAATTTGCAATTTTGCATAATTTTACTTTTTTAAGCGGTTGGATAAATCTTAAAGT